TATCCCCGGGTTCCCTGCCTAGGCCTAACCCTATCCCCGGGTTCCCTGCCTAGGCCTAACCCTAACCCCAGATTCCCTGCCTAGGCCTTTTCTGGGAAGCACTGTTGCTGCTGAGTGAACATATTATTATCACTGAATTTTGCTATCACCACCTTATTTTTGTATTTATTAATGACCACTGCCATCATATTATATATTGCCATTGAATATTGAACTACCACTCTATTGTTTACTGCCATTGTAATTGCTGTGCAGTAATTTGTGCTGATTTGTAAAACCAGTGAATTTTGTAATACATTTGTTGATTGCATACCATTTGTTGGTTGTTTGTTGGGTTCACACAAACTTCTTATACCTTCCGATTTCTTGGTTAACATATTGTTTCAATTTGGGAATAGACACGTAACACTCTGAATGGAGATGGTACATAACTGGCTGTGTGAGGAGACGGTACATAACTAGCTGTGTGAGGAGACGGTACATAACTAGCTGTGTGAAGAGATGGTACATAACTAGCTGTGTGAGGAGACGGTACATAACTAGCTGTGTGAGGAGACGGTACATAACTAGCTGTGTGAGGAGATGGTACATAACTAGCTGTGTGAGGAGACGGTACATAACTAGCTGTGTGAGGAGACGGTACATAACTAGCTGTGTGAGGAGACGGTACATAACTAGCTGTGTGAGGAGACGGTACATAACTAGCTGTGTGAGGAGACGGTACATAACTGGCTGTGTGAGGAGATGGTACATAACCGGCTCTGTTGGGAGATGGTACATAACTAGCTGTGTGAGGAGATGGTACATAACCGGCTCTGTGAGATGGTACATAACTGGCTCTGTGAGATGGTACATAACTGGCTGTGTGAGGAGATTGTACATAACTAGCTGTGTGAGGAGATGGTACATAACTGGCTGTGTGAGATGGTACATAACTGGCTCTGTGAGATGGTACATAACTGGCTGTGTGAGGAGATTGTACATAACTAGCTGTGTGAGGAGATGGTACATAACTGGCTGTGTGAGATGGTACATAACTAGCTGTGTGAGGAGACGGTACATAACTAGCTGTGTGAGGAGATGCTACATAACTGGCTGTGTGAGGAGATGTTACATAACTAGCTGTGTGAGGAGATGGTACATAACTAGCTGTGTGAGGAGATGGTACATAACTAGCTGTGTGAGGAGATGTACATAACTAGCTGTGCGAGGAGATGGTACATAACTGGCTGTGTGAGGAGATGGTACATAACTAGCTGTGTGAGGAGAAGGTACATAACTAGCTGTGTGAGGAGATGGTACATAACCGGCTCTGTTGGGAGATGGTACATAAATGGCTCTGTGGGATGGTACATAACTGGCTGTCTGAGGAGATGATACATAACTAGCTGTGTGAGGAGATGGTACATAACTAGCTGTGTGAGGAGAAGGTACATAACTAGCTTTGTGAGGAGATGGTACATAACCGGCTCTGTTGGGAGATGGTACATAAATGGCTCTGTGGGATGGTACATAACTGGCTGTGTGAGGAGATGATACATAACTAGCTGTGTGAGGAGATGGTACATAACCAGCTGTGTGAGAAGAAGGTACATAACTAGCTGTGTGAGAAGATGGTACATAACTGGTTCTGTGAGATGGTACATAACTGGCTGTGTGAGGAGATGGTACATAACTGGCTGTGTGAGGAGATGGTACATAACCGGCTCTGTGGGGAGATGGTACATAACTGGCTCTGTGAGATGGTACATAACTGGCTGTCTGAGGAGATGATACATAACCAGCTGTGTGAGGAGATGGTACATAACCAGCTGTGTGAGAAGATGGTACATAACTAGCTGTGTGAGAAGATGGTACATAACTGGTTCTGTGAGATGGTACATAACTAGCTGTATGAGGAGACGGTACATAACTAGCTGTGTGAGGTGATGGTACATAACTGGCTGTGTGAGGAGATGGTACATAACTAGCTGTGTGAGGAGATGGTACATAACTGGCTGTGTGATGAGATGGTACATAACCAGCTGTGTGAGGAGATGGTACATAACTAGCTGTGTGAGGAGATGTACATAACTAGCTGTGCGAGGAGATGGTACATAACTGGCTGTGTGAATAGATGGTACATAACTAGCTGTGTGAGGAGATGGTACATAACTAGCTGTGTGAGAAGATGGTACATAACTGGCTCTGTGTGATGGTACATAACTAGCTGTGTGAGGAGATGGTACATAACTAGCTGTGTGAGGAGATGGTACATAACTAGCTGTGTGACGAGATGGTACATAACTAGCTGTGTGAGGAGATGGTACATAACTGGCTGTGTGAGGAGTAGGGCTGGTGATTTAGATCGATAATCGTAATTATCATCGATGGAAGAAGGTTGTGACGATTATCGATATGAATATAATGCTATCGATAATGACATGTATTTTCGACAAATAAAAGTTTTTACTGCAATACATTTGACTTATTTGTTTTGCTCTCCTTGTAATTATCGCTAGATATAAACAGATTCACCCTAACATACAGTTTTCTCCCCTTCGCTTTATGTTTAGTCGCAAATAATAATCAAATGTTTCAAAAAGTAAAAAGTTCTGCTTTGAATCGAACGACGACGCCATTACATGTTGTTAGTGGGTAATTACAAATGTAGTCACTGGCATCTAAATGCGGAGTCAGGATTTTAGAAAATATGTATATTTTCGAAATAGTATGAAGTATCATGATTAAAATAGGTTTCATAATACTTTAATTCTTAAAAAGAATTCTTCCCATTCTATTTCATAAAATTTCAAATTTTATGTCTATTTTGTAACTACGTATTCTAGTCTGTTTCGATTTTTTCAATGATCATAGTTTTCGTTTTTCCCGGTATTCTCAACTCACAGCCCACGTGAGGTCCACGTGGGGTTTGACATTTTTACGATATGGCAGCAAAAATTCCTAATTTCCCCGTTATAATCGCACGATGTTTGTTTAATATCAGTCTGCCACCCAATCTATTACGTATCACCTGTGAACCTAGTACAACCTACTACGTAGCACACACCTGTACACACCTGACATTCACAATGGCGGAATATTTGATGATTTTTTATCTGAATAGTTTCGTGAATACTGTACATAAATGACAAACGACTATATCAGGTGAAATTACATTTAATTTCTCAATTACCGTATTTTCTTGAGTACAGTGCGCACCCATGTATAATGCGCACCCCACTCTAGCGGGTTCAATATTTTGGAAAAAAAAGAAATTTGAATATTATGCGCAGAAAAATTTCACCGTACCCTTTCAGCGAAGTCCGGCACACGAACGGGTGATGAGAAACTTCGTCAGTACAAATTCGAAATTTGAGATAAAAAATCACCAGACATGTTTATTTACCGTTTAAATAGTATTTATTGTTCTGCTAGGCATTGTTTTATATCCAGGGATTAAGATTACCTTGTGTATTTTCTCGTAAACTAAGCCGGAAACAGCAATCAGCTGTACACACGTTTTCTTGGAATCGACCGGTGATTCGGTCAAGACACACCCAATGATATAACTTAATAGGATTTTTAATGCAAGGATCGGCAAAAATTGTATATGAAACTATTTTTTTTATCAAGAATAATATATTCCATTATTTTCTTAATTATATGCAGCCTTTACTAAACATATTTAAAATAGATAATAACCCTAAGCGAAGCAGCTGATCGCTATTCCCGGGTATTATTTTTTACATGGACCCAGTCTGACCAGTCACCGTCAAGGCTCACGCGCACGTGATCGCGTGATCGCGTGATCGCGAGAATTTCATGTTGACATAGAATCGTCAAACAAAAACAAATATGACTTTTAACGAGTCAAAGTATGTCATTTATGATATATGTATCCATTCTCTGTCAACTAAAGTTCGTTTCAAGACGTCAATAGCGGTATTCTGACCGTGGTTGCTGTTAATAACGGTGAGTTGTGCGATCTTCCGATCGCTTCACACACGATTTCGCCGAAATTAATAAAAACAATATTTAAAGGAATACTCAAGAAAATACGGTATTCTCACTTTATACAAATAATAATTGTCTTTGACGACATGAATCGTAAACTCAGATTGTTCATCGCTAAAAATGCGATGTAACGTGCGTATTGTTGAAACACTGAGTCTCCGGAGAAGTGAATTGCCATTTTTCTGTAATGTCATTTTACCAAAATAGAATTCTTTGATATTTATCGATTATTGATCGATATGTGACTACCGATAATCGATCTGAGTAATCCATATCGATAACCAGCCCTAGTGAGGAGATGGTACATAACTGGCTCTGTGAGGAGATGGTATATAACTAGCTGTGTGAGGAGATGGTACATAACTAGCTGTGTGAGGAGATGGTATATAACTGGTGGCTTTCATTAAAATCAGATCTTAGTTCTCACTTCTGCTAAACAAAGATCTGAGGACATCCCATGACGGGTCACGTCAGACCAACCTTGCGCAAACTGTGACCGACCATTGGAACAACTAACAAGAAGTCGACAATAGCCAATCAGAAGGCAGCTTAATCGTGCTTCACGGCACAAGTTTCAAACTGGTGTCTACGCTTCGAAACATATTTTGACATCTAAAAAATTAACAAGATTCCCATACTGCCTGTATCGCTCACCTTAATATTTATGCAATCATGACAAATACATCTGCATTGTACATTCATATAATACTGCAAATATTTCATAATTTTGACTCTGTCAGCATTTAAAATAGGTGGATGGCAAATCTGACAGCATAAACGTGTATTACTCTAGATACAAATGAAGATTTGAACCGTTTCAATGTTATGATCCAGGATTTAAGTTTCCAGAGGCAAGGCTGGACCTCAGATCTTTGTTTAGCGGTGGCAAGAACTAAGATCTCATTTTAATGAGATTGGGCTTACCTTGGAATATGGGGGCTTACCTTGGAATATGGGGGCTTACCTTGGAATATGGGGGCTTACTTTGGAATATGGGGGCTTACCTTGGAATATGGGTGAAACCTTCCAGATGGACACCACGCCCTCGCTGGCGTACTGACCAAACGACAGCTCAAGGAACACCAGGGGGATTCCGGTGATGAACAGCATGACGATGAAGGGAATGAGGAATGCTCCTGAAACAGGTTGCCATGGTTACAATTGGCCTACTAGGCTAGAATACTTACCAACAAATATGTATGTTTTTAGAATAAAAATATAATTTACACTTTTCCTGACTCATACTAATTGCTTCTCTCTCTCTCTAATGCACCCATTGAGCCACTGTAGTGAACCTGGTAGAAGCTTAGATTTGGGCAAAAGCATGCTCCAGACAGGTGTTCTCACCTTGGACTAGCACCCCAATCGTCTATACTACTAGCCACACATGCCAGCACAACCCCCATCGTCTATACTACTAGCCACACATGCCAGCACAACCCCCATCGTCTATACTACTAGCCACACATGCCAGCACAACCCCCATCGTCTATACTACTAGCCACACATGCCAGCACAACCCCCATCGTCTATACTACTAGCCACACATGCCAGCACAACCCCCATCATCTATACTACTAGCCACACATGCCAGCACAACCCCAATCGTCTATACTACTAGCCACTCATGCCAGCACAACCCCCATCGTCTATACTACTAGCCACACATGCCAGCACAACCCCCATCGTCTATACTACTAGCCACACATGCCAGCACAACCCCCATTGTCTATACTACTAGCCACACATGCCAGCACAACCCCCATCGTCTATACTACTAGCCACACATGCCAGCACAACCCCCATCGTCTATACTACTAGCCACACATGCCAGCACAACCCCCAACGTGTATACTACTAGCCACACATGCCAGCAAAACCCCAATCGTCTATACTACTAGCCAGACATGCCAGCACAACCCCCATCGTCTATACTACTAGCCACACATGCCAGCACAACCCCCATCGTCTATACTACTAGCCACACATGCCAGCACAACCCCAATCGTCTATACTACTAGCCACAAATGCCAGCACAAGATTAATGACAGGCACCTTCATGTACTTTGTTCACATGTGTGACTTTGTGGTATATACATTGTTTAATTACTGTTATTACTCAGTGTTTCCTTCACTTCTATGTAATAAACAGATATAAAACTCACAACCCGTAGCCTGTGCTTAATAATTGTACCTAATGACTGCAAAACTTGGTTGCTAGAGGCTATTTCCACCCAGATTCCCCATGTAGAGATAAGCCTTGGTTGCTAGGGGCTATTGAACCCAGATTCCCCATGTAGAGATAAGCCTTGGTTGCTAGGGGCTATTGAAGCCAGAATCCCATGAAGATACAAGCCTTGGTTGCTAGGGGCTATTTCAACCCAGATTCCCCATGTAGAGATAAGCCTTGGTTGCTGGGGGCTATTAAACCCTGAATCCCCATGTAGAGATAAGCATTGGTTGCTAGGGGCTATTTCAACCCAGATTCCCAATGTAGAGATAAGCCTTGGTTGCTAGGGGCTATTTAACCCAGAATCCTCATGTAGAGACAAGCCTTGGTTGCTAGGGCCTATTTCAACCCAGAATCCTCATGTAGAGACAAGCCTTGGTTGCTAGGGGCTATTTAACCCAGAATCCCCATGTAGAGACAAGCCTTAGTTGCTAGGGCCTATTTCAACCCAGAATCCATATGTAGAGATAAGCCTTGGTTGCTAGGGGCTATTTAACCCAGAATCCCCATGTAGAGATAAGCCTTGGTTGCTAGGGGCTATTTAACCAAGAATACCCCAAATAGATAAAAGCACCTGATTTCCTGTAACATAGACAGATGAAGCTGAACCTACCACCTCCATTCCTGTAACATAGATATGGGAACCGCCACACATTGCCGAGGCCAACTGCATAACTGAGGCAGGACAAGACGAAGTCCATCTTGTTGGACCAGTTTCCCCTCTCCGTGTTCTCATCAGAGGACTTTGACTTGGTTGGCGAGGGCAGCTGGGACTCGAAGTTGGCCGCCACGTAATAGGCCCCGTTGTTGGCGTCTCTCTTGTCCATGGTGTCTAGTGTGTCAACAGGCTGAAACCAAGAGTGAGTGAGTGAGTGAGAGAGAGAAAGAGAGAGGGAGTCAGTGAGTCAGTGTGTGACCACGTCCTATCAGGTTTCCACATCATTTCTCGGCGGTGGGGTAGCCTAGTGGTCAAAGCCTTCGCTCACCACACCAATAGTAGGGCTGCAACGAATACACTATGAGGTGAGTACGATTCATATCACGAATATAGAGTAATGAATACGAATATTTATTCACGAATACAATAACATGTCAGCAGTTGTGGACAAATTATTATATTCAGCTAAAAAAAAAAAAATAATTATTTGACATGGTTGGTTAATTATTAATATGTTATACATTCATATATTGCATTTATCCAGGTACTAGACTACCAGGCAAAAGAAAGTTTTCACCGACTTCACTTGACCAAACACCAAAAACAAAGGCATATGTGAGATTTATGATGATTAATTTATAAACAGAAATCATTTTCCATGAATTAGAATGAAAATGCATTGTAATGCCGATATTGCATTCTCTGCAATACACAAAGAAAGTGTCAAGGGGTCCAAATAAAAAATTACACAAATCAAAGTTCATTGAAAAAGTGCATGAAGAGTCCATTAATGACACAGTAGTCAGGTAACACGTCATCAATAGCGAGTGTGACCACCCTGGGCATCCATGCACGCCAACACACGCCTCCTCATTGACGTTGCTTTTTATACAACTATTCTTAAAGTGAAAACTTTCTTTTGCCTGGTAGTTTAGTATCCGCTCAAATACCACAATGACCGATGACCACAATACTGTCAAATTATATATATGAGTGGTGTCTTTAAAGAAATCTCTGCATATAATATGTTCTTAGGGATATTTTTAGGTACAGGGTATGTAGATGCACATGACTGCATATTCATAAATATTCGATTCTAGTGACGACGAATAACGAATTCAATTCATGAATGGATATGGTTCGATTCACCGAATACGCGAGTGAATCGTAACAGCCCTAATGGGTACAATGTGTGAAGTCTATTTCTGGTGTCTCCCGCCACTATATTGCTGGAATATTGCTAAAACCAAACTCACTGACAGTAATACCACAGCATTTCATTGACATTGGAAGAAAGCCTGAAGCAGCGCTGGTCCTTGACACAGACCTGATCTTACCACAAAAGTTGCCTGCCCTTCTCCAAACTAACTGGCCCAAAACTCCATGTGGGAGGCCACTACTGAGTTACACACAGGGCTCAAAATGTTTTAGACCTCCTGATCCCTAAAATGTCATTTCCTGCACTCTGAGATAAAATCTTTGCGTCCACTTGCCTCATTTCGTGGTGATTTTATAAGCAAATAAAGATGCTGTTTTACCCTTCTATTCTATATAGTTAAGGTATCATAAGGACTAGCAGAAATTTGCCATTTATAAGTGCTTTGCTATAAGTTATCATTATAACAGTCAGAAATTGGCAGTAGTCCTATAATCCTTGCCAACCTGACCATAGTTAAGGTATCATAAGGACAAGCAGACATTTGCCATCTATAAGAGTTTTACTATATGTTATCATTATAACAGTCAGAAATTGGCAGTAGTCCTATAATCCTTGCCAACCTGCCCATAGTTAAGGTATCATAAGGACTAGTAGACATTTGCCATCTATAAGAGTTTTACTATATGTTATCATTATAACAGTCAGAAATTGGCAGTAGTCCTATAATCCTTGCCAACCTGCCCATAGTTAACTCTTTCAACACCGTAGGCCGGTTATCCGGCCAAGAAGCATTGAGTCCCCAGACACCGCAGGCCGGTTATCCGGCCAAGCCGTAGTCACGTCAAAATAGTATATATTTTTATGGACCTACCTGTAATGTCTTTCATTTATTAAATCTATCACATTTCACAATGTCTGAAATACATATTCCATATCAATTTAACATTTTTTATCGTTAAATTAAAAAATTATTCACTATTTCTCGCGATGTTATTGAAAATAAAATTCTCGGACACACATTTCGACAACGGGTCCACATTGAACACGTCAAAGAAGAAAATAAAGACGTTTTAAACAAATCTTTAAATATATTATACAAAGTAATAAATAAAATCAACAAAAATATATCTTAAAGTAATCAAACTTACATCTAAGTTATTATTTCCATCTTTTCGTGCGATCGCGTGTAATGTAAGTCAAATGACATCTCGGCTTTCGTCGCCTTGAATTCTCGGCTCGGACACGATGTTTGATGCAAAAATATATGCATGAAAAATCTTTGTCACAGCTCGTAACCTAGCACGATACATTCACGAAGTTCCATATTTTTAATATATATCGTGATTTCCTGCTAAAAACGTTCAGAATAACACGATTTAACAAAATTCTTTCGCAAACGTCTGTAATTTATCGACCACGAGCTTGGTATCACAGCTGTAATTTGATTGGCTGCCTTAGGTCACGTGCTCAAAATTGACCAATCACGAAACTTGTAGCAGATTTCAGCAAGAAAGCGTCATTAGAAACCAATTTTAATCCAATGAAATCGCTTGTTATAACTACGAAAAAAAACCAGTCGATGTTACGTGCGTGTAGATGAAGGAATAAGCTTTCCAGCGATGTGTCATATGCCATTCTTCGACGAACGTGTTATTCATACGAAACCTCGAAAACGGGGGTATTTCTTCATTTTACTGAACGGACAGTCGCTGTTATCGGGAAATGGGTGATGACAGAAACTGTCTATAATTCTTTTTAAAATGATTTTCCAATTACGTAAACAATGAAAATAAAACAGAAATAGGTACGTGGATATTATGAAATCATATATTTGCCGAAAATCGTCAAGTTTTCGCTTCCTTGGTCCTTAATCTGGATGTTAACAACGTGTTAGCGTACATTTTTTTATTTACAACGAATTTAATTAAGTTGTAAATGCATTATTTTAAATAATGTGAAAAACATAACTTTCATATTTATAAACCATAGGATCAGACCTTTCAAATGGTGTATAACATGTAGTAGCAAATATATTTTACAAGCAGGTATTTTCTTTGATAAATGTTGGCTTCATCTATCACACAAGAGTCTCTGGGAACTCGGTGTCCCAGCAGTAAACACTTCTGGTTGACTGGTGTTGAAAGAGTTAAGGTATCATAAGGACTAGTAGACATTTGCCATCTATAAGGGTTTTACTATATGTTATCATTGTAAGGACTGTTAGTGTCTACCCCTGCCTTACACCTTCAACATGAACATCCTTATTAGGCTGTGTTTGACCTTGTGTTTTGTACTACAAAACCAATATCTGTTTTTCATCAAAACATATCAAAGACATACATGATAGCTCATGTCAAGTTTCATCCCATTCTATAAAAGAACTAGATCATAATAGATAATTAAATTAGTTTCTTTGAGAGGCATTTAGAAGTTGGAGTGAATATAAGACGTGATATAAACATATTTATTTCCATAAAGTGGAGGGATTGGCAAACAAGCAAATTTTGCTTATCTGAATGCCTCACCCAAACATGATACATGTACAAATAGCAATGTATTGATAGTGACATGATAAGTAGCCTACATTGTATAATTGACATTAAAGATAAGTATTGTTCTGTAAGTGTTTAATTACTGGATTATCTTTCATAACTACAGTTACATTATTATTTACATTCAGCACAACATCGCAGTATCATATAGCAAAGCCATCATCTCAGACAAAATCTCTAAATCGGCAAGAAGATAGAATAAAACTGTGCACCGATTTCAAAATTTCAAAATTGTTACTGTCGTTAAATTTGAATTACCATTTAGAATTGAATTTAAATCATAGCCTTTTACAAAATAATACATGTTTTGCCTTACTGTACTGTTTAAGGGACATGTAAGAAAGAAATGAAGTGCATCTTCCGTATGATAGCCACAACAAAATCTTGGGCTGTCGGATATAAATCTGGCAAATTTGGCGGCGTTAAGATCACTGCAGCCAAGCCTGAGACGGGAGTGTATAACCTGACAGAATCTTGATCCATACTTTACATCAAAGTATATACCATTCCTATCATTGCTTTTTATAAAACTTTTAAAACTTCCTAAGTTACTGGCATTGGTGTATTCAATAGGTAGTGAGTTCCAAATATTAGCTATATCTGGAATAAATGATTTGGCATAATCATTTGATTTACACTTTGTGGTTTGCAGCTGTGAGCAGTTTCTCAAATTATAATCACTTGCATCCGACACTCTATTTGGAACTAAGGAGGAGAGATAGTCCGGTACTAGATTGTTAACCATGTTATAACAAATATTTAACTTTTGAAAATGCCTTCTTTCTTCTAATGACGTAAGATTTGTTTCTTTATAAAGTTTTCCTTGACTTGTGCCACAAACAGCCCCACAAATAGTTCTGAGTGCATCTAGATTTAGTTTTTCAAGTAGTAACGCCTGTTCTTTTGTGCAGTTGTCCCATATGTGGCAACAATAATCAAATATCAGTAATATGAAAGATTTATACATAGTTTCCAGTGTTTTTCTATTTAAACGATACCTGAAACTCCTGAGACAGGTAATCATTGGACTGACCTTCTTGACTAGGCTATCAATGTGATCGGTCCACATACAATCTTCTTGGAGAGTAAGTCCTAGATGTTTATGAGAATGAACTTCCTGAACAGTAGTGTTACTCATTTATTTTTATATCTGTTTTTCATCAAAACATATCAAAGACATACATGATAGCTCATGTCAAGTTTCATCCCAGTCTATAAAAGAACCAGATCATAATAGATAATTATATTAGTTGTTTGAGAGGCATTTAGTAGTTGGAGTGAATATAAGACGTATGTAGTAAAGAACTTGTTTATCCACTTATCTTATTACTTACATACCAATTGGTGTATTATAAACGACTCATTCTAAATGAACGATTGTGTATGGTAGGACTTTGATTAAATGTAATAGCATTCCACGACAGATGATGACTCAAAAATTCAATAAATAGAACTGTTTACGCGATGGTTCAGATACCT